ATAATCAATTGCAGCTTTTATTCCTTGTTCGGCCAGAATTCGTGTGATCAATTGCAAAACAACTGAATTCGGCAGTGCAACACGATTGTTTGCTGATGCACTACAGCAAAGTATTTAATTTGTTTTGTGACCATACTTGATGTTTGAAATCAAAATTTAAATATTGAAATTAACAGAATACACTATTCGCCATCACTTCATGATGACTTTAGCAGAGAATGATGCATATCTCACTATTAATAATCATTCATGCAAAAAACATACAAGCTGTCCAAAAGCCATAAAGCTTCTTTCACATCTTTTCCATATACGATAAAGACTTCAAAAAGTTCAACGATCAATTTTTTCAAACGACGGTGGGATGGCCAAAGTTCTTTATTCAAAACCCGTCTCAAGCCAGCAACATCCTAAAATTAATTGAGAAAATTTCCATATTTTATTAAAGTTTTGAGATTATTGGGCAAAGCGAAAAATGGCGACGGTGAAAACGAAATAAACAATTCTTGTTTACCTTTTTCAAAATAAGTTCTTTCAGTTGTTCTACTGATGCAGTTTTGGTTTTTGTAGTCACTAATTCACCGGTTTTGTTCCTAAATAGCTTTTGAGCTTTCTCCTGACAGGATACAATAGTGGTCGACACTGCCCCATCATGAATACTGGTTGAACATGGAGTTGTTTTTAAAGTTCGCAACTGAAAATTTATTATAGGCCGCAACTTGCTCGAAAGAGGCTGCATACTACGCTGATTCACCTGGAAATAATATAATTTATCTTTTGTAATATAGTATTTCAGTAACGATGACATATTTGCTTCTTGATACAGAATATTCTGTATGAAGTATTAAATTTATGCTACATAAAATTAAAAAAGATATATAGGTTAAAGTACAGTACCGGTTTCACCATATCACATTCACTTTTATATAGTAATGCTCCTCGATTATTAAGAACTTTCTTTGTTGCAATACAAGGACGCGCTGATCGTAATCGAGTAAAAAATGTCCGCTACAAATCATAAATTTATAGAATTTTGGAATATTCTTTCTTTATAAGTAGTGCATTGGAAAGAAAGAGAACAAATACTTTAAAAATTGAGATGATGAAAGCAAAACTTGCTATAAATGATCAAAAGATATAAACTTCTCAAAATTTTAAAACGGCATTAAAGAAAAAAATGAAACCCATCGCGGCCTTCGTAAGTCTGTTCTTGATTTAGTGCTCAACACCCTATCACATAGGTGGGTATTATTAAATGCAGTCGCCGACGCGCTGCGATCGCTTGGGAAACTGAAATTTTATATTCTTTATGCTACTGTAACATATAAAGCATTAAACTTGCTGGTTTTCTCGTAAATAATTAAGAAAATAAATGATTAGATTACCTCGACATTAACATTTCATAAGTTAGAACAGGCAAGTCATCCAAAATACCATAGATACCATGCCATCCGTATGTTTCAAAGAAAGACTCCAAAATTTCAATCACACTTTCGCTAACTAAATCAAACATATTTAAAATAATCAACCATATTCGTTTTATCTTCTTTTATTATAAAATCACGGAAGACGGATACAAAGGAATGCTCAGTTATTCTATAGAATTCAATTATTGCTTAGGTTGATAGTAAAAATTCCACACCAAAGGATACTTCAAAACTAACGTTCGTTCTTTCCAGTACTTGTACTGGTTGAATTAGAATTCAAAAATTCGAATGATTCATTGAAAGAGCAGAATATACTGCAACATATATAATTGGTAAAGAATAAATTTCCAAATAAAGGTAAGGAATAAATAGAAAAAATTAGTTACGACTAATACGATTTCTATCATTAGTGATAACCGCATGACACTACAACTCAACATTTGGCGGCATAAAACACTGATTATTAGAGAGCACTCATAATATCATGCTGACAACGATTTTTTGTTTATATGATTGTAACGTAATGTCCGTTACAACCATATAGATAAAAGATCAACTGTTAGCATGATATTATGAGTGCTCATTGAAACAACTTATGGGATATACCTCAGAAGAGCTCAGAACCATAAACAAAATACTACTCGCATTATGCTTAAGAAGGTACTAATTTTCACAGTCTTTCTGATTTCTCATGGTATAAACTCTTGTTTGTCTCGAAAATGCATATCCATACTCTTGTTTGTCTCGAAATGCATATCCACACCATTTTATTGCTTGCCGATGAGAAAGTTCTACGTCTCGATTTACTGATGAAGATGAGCCAGAGCAAACTGCTAAAATATTAAAAAAGAAGTTAATCAATCTTAAACATATATTTTGCATGCCAATAACTAAATTGTACGAATTGTTTACTGAACTACTCCGAAATATTAGAGAAACCTGAAGTAGATTGTTGATAATTAGGTAGAACAGCCCCAACAGGAAATTTGCATCCATGCAACAAACACCTTCAAGTATTGGAAAAAATTAATAATATAACGATAAAGAAAGAAAATAAAACTAGGAAAGAATAAATGAATAATGATGAAGTTAAAAAAAAACATGTAAGAGAAGATAAAAGATATTTTTAGCTTTTTTTAATACTAAATAGTTGCAAAAAGTTAGAAATCTATAATACCTGCAGTTCGAGTAGCGCAACATCCCTGTAAGAATTTTAAGCACTGTATTATATCAGTATCTTGAATTAAAAAGAAAATGAGGAGCCAATCATCACAATACTTTGACCCAAACTTCTGTAAAAAAAAAGGTTTGAAAAAGTGAAATTCACAACAACTGCCCATAAATTAACTTAATGTATTTGTCAGAGCACAACTGTGATAAAAAAAGTAACATTAGGATAG